AGATTTGTATAAGGGCATGTTTGACCCGTATATTATGTCTTGGATGATATTCATTTGTGATATGTATTATTTTATTTTGTGTTGTTCATTATATTCTTGCTGATTGTGATCGGGGACCTGTGACTTCTTATTGTTTTTATTTCCAGACGCTTAGCGTACTAGGTTGAGAAGAAAAAAGATAAAAAAAATAATAGTGTATATTTCTTCTCAATCTAATACGTCGCGGGCTTGTTCACGTTCCGATTCCCCTGTATTTTGGGAAGCGGAGCGTGACATTTTGTAATTCATTAATTTCAATGTAATGTTTAGTAGTTTTGTGTATTTGTAAATTACAAGATTTTAGGGTGTTTTTCTACAAATTTTAAATCTTTTGAGGGTGTTTACTTTGTAGTTTTCTAAATTTTCATTACGTTTTTAGTGTAATGCATAGATACTTCAATTAATAATGATATTGAAGAGTAAGTTATTCTTAAGATTATAAGTTATTCTTAAGATTATTAGGATATAGTTAAATGTGCACATCACTATTCCTAGGCAGTATAATCTATATATGTAAAAATTTTTAAACAATCTATATAGTGGTTAAAAAGATTTTGACTTTAATGTACTATTTTTTATAAATTATATTTAATGTGAACCCACCTGAGTTTGACTGTGGTCATCATAATTTTAATATGTTTGATTGATTGACTATATATGTATATAGATCATAAATTATTTTATTTTCTCACATGAGCTAATATTTGGCGCTTAATAATTTAAATTATTACTTTTAAATTTAATATAAAGATGAGCTCTAATAACATTTGTTTATTTACCTACAGGATAATCCAATCTCAATTCTTATTTTTTGCTTGAGATTTATTCTATAGTTACGAGTATCAAATTAGTAACTAAAATAATAATTATTTATGCTTAAATTAGGATGATTGTAGTTGGTCACTCACTATAAAATTTTCATGAAGATATACACCTTACTTTCTATAGCTATTTGAATACCCATGTATATTTTATAAATTAGTTGTTAATTTGACATATTAAATTACTTTTTCTTTGAAAAAATTTCTTCTTTGACTTTTGGACTGTGTAATCACTATATCATTATTCTAGCGTAGAAAGAACTTCACTCAAAATGGTTTCGTATAATCACTATATCATCATTCTAGCGTAGAAAGAACTTCACTCAAAATGGTTTCAAGCCAATGTTTGAGTTAAACTGAAGTATATACTGTTGCTACTATATGTATATATTTTTAAGAAATTAATGTCAACATTTTTAAAATAGAAGAAAATATTCTAATATTTGATATTATAAAAACTAAATATAGTCAATTGAGTGATTAGTAAAAGAGAACTTACATCATAAAAGCGTGAATAATAAGATAAAGAGGAAAAATAATGATATTGCTAACAGTAGTACAAATAGCAAACTACAATGTAAAGTTAACCTATTTTGTAGAGACCACCTACTGGCTATAAGCATTGAGGTTTTCATATATATACTTTATAACTTATTAAAAAGTGTCATATAATCTTACATAATAAAATTGATTCAGTACTGAATAATAATATCGTTATAATAATATCATTATCAGGGAAATTTCTTTATGAACCAATATGTTCTTTACAATATATAAGCTATGTACTCCAAATTCTTGGGTCTTTATAGAGCCAAAAAGTTTGAATACGAGCCTCTAACATGTTGTTCTCACAACAGCAAAATCCACTTAGCAGCTGTGGATATTTCAGATGAGTTATATGTCTTATATATAATATAATTGTCCTAGACAAATGAGTTATAATAGCATTTTTCATTCACATCGTTTGGGGTAAGATTTGATAGGGACCTTGCATCAAAGAATTTTTTTATATTTAGAGCTCATGGTGAAATATATCATAATCTCCCTGCTCTAATTTCGTAAGAAAATTATTCTTTATACTTTCACAGTTTTACTTCTATGGTACAGAGAATGAGCTATAAAATTGAATGAGAATATTTTATAATATAAATATGAGTGAAATCACAACTAAAAGTTAACGTGAATATGAGTCAAACAACAACTAAAAGTTTAATGGACATATTGCAAGTAAATTCATATACAAAATTCCTTTGTGAATTGAATGATCACCCATCTTTTGAAGACTTCAAGATACTAATAAATAAAAATGTTGTACTAGATTAATGTGTTTATAACTCACAAATAGTAGATCTCGTGGCCACAGTCTAGGTTGAAGGAAACAATGATAATATTTTATTTGAGAGAAAGATTATTGAGTTGATGATCAATCCCATAAAAAACTTTGTTTTCTTTTTTTATTTGTACTCTATTTTTATCAATTTAAATAATCATGATATTCAACCACGTGCATTTCACGTGCATCTCAACTAGTATGTGTGTGTGTGTGTGTGTGTGTGTGTGTTTGTGTGTGTGTGTGTAGAAGGTAGATATATGGAAAGACGAGTGAGTGGATAGAGGAATTAGTTTTTTGGGAGTTTTCAGAATTGGTTAAGATTTACTAACTAATTAGTTAGAATAAATCTAATATGCATGTTTCCCTCTCATACTTGAAATTCAAATTGTTGTTGGCTATAAATTTTGCTTATTTAACAAATCAAATGGGGAATAATATTAACAATAATGCTATCATTAAGATTTTATAACAATTTTATATGGTAATAAATCTAAATTTCCTATTTAAACAGTATAAATTGGTTATTTTGATTTAACTCTTCACATATCTTTAGATCTATAGTTAAAAGGATAACCTCATTAGCAACGGCTGATAAGGAAGCCCGCATGTCAAAAATGTTTGAGAAGAAAAATCTAATGTGGTAGTCTCTTATGTGTTCGTAGTCATTTGGTTCTCCTTAGATTGTTTATCATTTTTGTCACTTTCATGTGACTTTACCATTTTTTTTGAGGAAGTCAAAAGTACATTAAATCTTATGTGAAATGCACTTTATTACTTTCACCTTTCACTTGCATTTCAACCTCCTAACCACTTGCATGCAAATAGATACCTAAAATGTTAAAAGAAAATCACGTTATTACTTTCACCTTTCACTTTCACACAAATAAACATCCCCTAAATTCATGGTCAACATATTTTAAAAGCGGTTTTTGTGAAAATAACCCTTATTTGTAATAAACAAAAACGTAGTTGATTAGTCCATATTTTAAACTTAGTACTAATTGGGTAGGCAAAAATAATCTCTATATTAATTAAGTTAACATCATTCATGATAAAGTAACTATTATTAAAAGATATTACCAAGGTTACAGAAAGCGTTATGCAGCCTAGGCTTTGGACTGACACCTAGAGCCTAAGCGCCTAGGCACTAGGCGGGGCCTATGCAGTTTTCCTTTTTTTATTTTTAATTACAATAACTGACAGTTAATGTCAATGTTATAAAAAAAGCTTAGGCGTTGGACTGGTGTCTGGGCAGATTTCTTTCTTCGTTTAAGTGGTGACAGAGGAGATTTTGTTGAAGGTCGGAGGAGGGAAAGTAAGTGTTCATAGTTAGAGGCTAGAGGGGTTTGGAGGAGGTTGGAAGACGTTGAGATTGCAATGAAGGAAATCACTATGAATACCTAAAGGTTATAGTCGACCTAAGCATATCACAATCACATAGGTGCTCTCAAAACCTAAGTGGGCGACATAGGTACCGCCTAGGCCTTAACACACACACCTAATTGGGCGAAGCCGAGGCTTTTTAAAACATTGGATATTACTATCCTAGATATATAGTAGTTACGATTTTGTAAGCTTTGTTTAACAGTATACGAAATAATTATGAATTAAAATTAGTAAGTTGAAATATATAGGGTAACATGCCCTATCATCAAAATTTCTAATTTATCGACCACGTTATCTCACTCCCAAAAACGATACACCACTATCCTACTAAAATGTCTTTCAAGAAGATAATCCCGCTTGTGAAGAACTACCACAATTCTAATTGAATTTTTTTATTATCGACTGACGCCAACTTAGAAAGCTTTACCTGCCACCCCCATTGATTTTTTATTTCTTATAAGCCCCTTGAGCTAAAAAGGCTTTCTTTAATATGTACTCAAATATGGACAAATTCCAAAGCAGATCGAGCTCTATAGTAAAACGTGTAGGTTTTTATAAACTACTGCAAACTACTAGAACTTTCGTCCAACTACTTTTATTAGTGATAAATAATGTGAAAATTCAATCTTCATTCTAAAATAAATTAGACGGGCATATTAAGAAAGCGGAAAAAAAATTGAACCCGGATCATATGCCAACAACCCGAATCCGAAACACTTTACACTCCCAAGACAAACGTCCCTGTTTTCCTCCGCGTTAAGCCACGTGCTTCGCCCTCCAGCATCTGCCATGATACTTGTCCACAGCACCTTAAGCGTCTTGTCCACAGCACCTTAAGCGTCTAACACTACTTTAAAAAAATTCAAAAATAAACGAAAAAACAGGGGAAAAACAGAGTTTTCTCAAGTCTAATGGATCACCAACAACGCCGAACTCACCGCCGCCCCGTTGCCGCCACCGCCACCACTCGCCCACCCAACTTAAACAACCACATCCACTCCTCACAATCTCCAACCGGCAGGGCTAACATAGGTCCAAACTAGCAACATCCCAAGCTACGAACTCCTCTCTCCCCCTCATCTCCCTCTCCTCCCCCTTCCATCTCTCTCCTCTCCCGATGTCCAGCCGTCCCGTCCCGCGTCGCCACGCGCGGCACATCCTCCGCCGCCTCTCCGTCGGCCTCATCGGTGCTCTCCACGCGTCGCGTCCTCGTTGCCGCGCTAGTGACGCGTCTGGTGATCGGGTGGTGTTGGTTGAGGATGTGGTGGAAGAGCCGCGTTGTGGTCTTCGGCGGGGCTGCATTTTGATTCACGCGACGTCACTAGCCGCGAATGTTGGTTCGGGATGGCTTAAGCGCAGGTGTGCCAGCGGCGAGCACACACCGATGGTCTCTGTCTTGAGCTGCTCCATAGCCAGAGTAGATTATATCCGCATATTGGCATGTTTCAGGTATGCTTGGTTTTATTTTAGATTAATAGACTAGTTTTTATCCGAGTGACGTGTTAGGAATTTTATGGAGATTAATCTGCAGAATTAAACACTAAACAAATAACGGCACTAATAAAAATATCACAAGCAAGAAAACACTAAGATTTAATGTGGTTCGGCAAATTGTGTCTATGTCCACTGGGCAATCCAGAGAGAAATATTCCACTATGAATCAAGAGTATAATCCCTCCAAGTTACATCTAAACTTGATGATTAAATCATAAACTTGATGATTAAATCATAAGAGAAAGATACAGTATTACCTCTAGGGCACCAAAATCCTAAAACCCATCTCACCATAAGTCTTCAACACCCGCGAAGAAACCAACATCGTACCCTTGACGGCGTCGTCGTTTTGAAGACAAAGGCGTTTGAATCACTGCGATCAGATAACTAAGCTATCCAAACTCTTTACTTCTCTCTCTCTCTTTGTCTCTCTCACCTTAAAAGCTCTCGAGTTACTATAGTTACAGGCTCTTCACGTGCCCCAATTCCTTTAATAAAGGAAATTATTCTCGAGGTCTTCCTTTTCTATTCAAATTATGAATATGTCCCTTAAATCTTTTTCTTAGCAGGATACAACCAATTTGACCTAGTTCTTGTGGTCCTCAATTAGGCTGGACCCACAAGATGTTGACGAACTATAAGTACATTAGATTTTGTGCTGTGAAATTTTAAAGACTTTATTAAATTGCCAATTGAAGTGAAATAAACACTTAAATTATTGACTTAGATTGAACAACTACTCGGAGAACATGTAGGATCGTAGACTATGCTAAGAAAGGATTCAGACTTATGTTATAGGATAGTTATAACTAACAACGTACATCGACGTCATAAGTTCACATCTTAAACATAATTTAATATGGTACTTTGGACTACATTGAAATATATTCACTTTGAACTCCTGACTATATATATGATCTTTTGTTTTAATGAGTGACAAAGGGAAACTTGGTTAGAGGAGCTCATATATATCAAGAGAGTAGGCCCAAATTCAAGCCCTTGTTGGTTTTGGGGATGTAGACCCAAACCTTGGAACAAGCTAAAAATTTTCTAAGTCTAGAAAACAGGCGAAGTCAGCATGCAGGCGAACCTGTAGTTCAGGCGAGCTTTGGAAGTGCAAGCGAGCTCTAAGTGCAAGCAAGCTCCAAGTTCAGGCGAAGCTCGATCAGTTCAGGCGAACATAAGTCAGGCGAACTTCACAAGTCAGGAGAGCTTCGAGTGCTCAGGTGAACCAGCTTGTCAGGCGAACTCGTAGAAAAAGACAGATTCCCAGCTTTTGACCTGGCCGCCACTTTGAGTTGAGATTTTCCCGAGTGCCTGTAGTAAATTTTTGGTGACGCTTTCTCCAGCGATTCCTGAGCGGTGATTTTTCTCTAGAGAAAAATCTCGTGTGTTCCTGTAGCAATTCTACAGAAGCGATTTTTGATAGAGAGATCTCAAGGATTTTGAGATCATCTTCTTTACAAGCATTGTAATCCTCTTTAATAATCAAAGAAAATTTTTGTGTGGTTCCCAAGGACGTAGGCAAGTTGTCGAACCTCGTTAAAATTTTGGTGTTCTCTCTTCTATTTTTCTTGCAAGTTTTTTTATTTGCTGTGATTTTTTCTTTCCTTCTTTCGACATAAGACCCGGAGGGCACGTTCTACGAGATGGTTCATTTGGCAGGTTATCGATAGGACGAATCCCCCAACAACTGGTATCAGAGCTTCGTTCGGATTAGATCTATGTGAGAGCTATGACAGAAAAAGACAAATTAAAGATTGAGAAGTTTAACGGATCAGACTTCGTCTACTAGAAGTCACAGATAGAGGACTATCTGTACTTGAATGATCTTTACCATTCGTTGATGGGTAAAGCAAAAAAAAAGAAGGATGAGGTCGACGAGGACTGAGAAATATTGGATCGAAAGGCTCTAGGACAAATCCGATTATCGCTCGTGAAATCAGTCACACACAATATATTAAAGGAGAAGACGACGTTGGGGCTTATGGAAGCGCTCGTAAAGATGTACGAGCAACCGTCAGCTACAAACAAGGTGCATCTCGTTAAAATATTTTTCAACCTCAAGATGGCAGAATGATATTCCTTCACGATACATCTTAGCGAGTTCAACACGATTGTTGATCAACTTATCTCAGTCGACATCACGTTTAATGATGAAGTGCAGGCCCTATTAATATTATCGTAGTTGCCAGATAGTTAGGCAGGTTGCGTAATCGCAATTAGCAACTCGACAGGGAATGAGAAGTTAAAGCTGAACAAGGTTGTTAGTATGATTCTATCTGATGAGGTTAGAAGAAAATCGCAAGAATCAGAAGGTTCAGGTTCGGCCCTAAGTCTCGAGTAGAGAGGCCGAAGCCGAAATAAGGGTAACCAAAATAGGAATCGATCAAAGTCAAAGAACAAGGTGTCGAACTCGAAGGTGAGGCCTATCAAAGGAAAATGTTAGAATTGCGGCCAGGAGGGTCATATGTCTTTAGTCTGTAAAGCACCAAAGAAGGATACAAATGAGTAGGAGGTTTATATCGTGCAGCATGCCTTGATCCTTACTATGGACATTGATTTTGATTCATGGGCTATTGATTCGGGAGCCTCATTCTACGTCACTACTAATAGGAAGCTTCTTCAAAACTATGTAACAGGAGACTTTGAAAAAGTGTACTTGTGGGACAACAAGTCATGTAGTATTGTTAGAAGAGGTGACGTGCAAAAATAGATAAAAGGCTTCAAGTGGAATCTGAAGAACAGACATGTACCGAAGTTGAAGAGTAATCTTATTTCGGTTGGCCAGTTTGGAGCAGAAGGCTATGTTACGACATTTACCGGGGATTCGTGAAAAATCTCTAACGGTACTATTGTGGTGGTCCGTGGCAACAAGACCGAAATACTCCTAACTTCACATACGAGTGACACCCTCGTAATTGTAGCGGACAAGGAGAGTGCAGATCTGTAGCACAATAGGTTGGGACACATGAGTGAGAAGGGTATGAATATTCTACACTCAGAGGGAAAGCTAACCGGTATCGATTCAGTAAAAGTTGGTATTTGCGAAGACTGTATCTACGAGAAGCAGAAGAAGGTTAGCTTTCAGAAGAGTGGAAGACCATCTAAAGCTCACAAGCTAGAGCTTGTTTATACAAACGTATGTGGTCCAGCTAGTGTGTCTTCTCTTAGTGGTTCGGCATACTATGTCACTTTTATCGACTATCATACGAGAAAGGTGTGGGTATACTTCATGAAGCACAAGTCAGAGATTTTTGGAATCTTCAAGAAGTGGAAAGTCATGGACGAGAACGAGATAGAATTTGAGATTAGACAATGATGGAGAATACGAGCTGGAGGAGTTCAAGAAGTTCTGTGCTCTGAATGAGATTCGTTTAGAAAGGGCTACTCCAGGAACATCGCAACAGAATGGCGTTGTAGAGAGAATGAACATAATGTTGCATAGCGTACGAGGAGCATGCGTCTACATACAGGTCTGTCAAAAATATTTTGGGCGGACGCGGTGCATACAACAACGTACTGGGCCATCAGTCCCACTAGACTTTGGGATTCCAGAAGAGGTTTGGAGTGGTAAGAAGGTTAATCTCTCATACTTGAGAGTCTTTGGTTGCTTGATATATATTCATATCAGTGACCATGTCAGGGACAAGCTAGAAGCTAAGTCACAGAAGTGTACATTCATTGGATACGGTATTGATGAGTTCGGATATCGTCTTTGGGATGAGAAGAACATGAAAATCATCAGGAGCCGAGATGTCATATTCAATGAAGAGGTAATGTATAAGGACATGGATAATGCAAAGGATAACCAAAGCAGTGGGAGAAACATTAAGGATGCAGGTGCATCCGAGTACATAGATTTGGAGGAACTTTCAGATGGGGGAGAATATGTTAGTTCTGACCAAAGAATAGAGGAGACTCCAAGTGCAGAGACGATTACCCAAGGCGAGAAGCTTAGAAGGTCATCCAGGGTACCTAAACCGAATCTCAGATATCTCTCATCACTAGATTATTTGTTTTTAACATATAGCGGAGAACCAGAGTACTATAAGGAGGCAATGTAAGTTAGTGAATCTCAGCAGAGGGAGCATGCGCTGCAAGAAGAGACGGATTCTCTCCACTCGAATGAGACATATGAGTTAGCACAGCTACCTGCACAGAAGAAAGCCTTACATAATAAGTGGATTTACTGAGTCAAGCGGTAGAGTGATGGAAGCAAGAGAGATACAATGCCAAATTAGTTGTGAAATGATTCCAACAGAGAGAAAGAGTGGATTATATAGAGATATTTTTCCCCATAGTGAAGCTCACAACTATCAGGGTGGTGTTGAGCTTAGTAGCTGCTAAAAATCTCTACCTTGAGCAGTTGGATGTGAAGACTGTCTTTCTTCATGATGATTTAGATAAAGAAATCTACATGAAACAACATGTTACTTCATTGAGGAAGGTAAAGAAGAGATGATATCCAGGCTCAAGAAGATCTTGTATGGTTTGAGACATGCACTAAGACAGTGGTATAAGAAGTTCGATAACTTCATGAAGAGCAATGGTTATGAAAGGTGTAATTCGGATCATTGCTGTTACTTCAAGATGTTCGAGTCCAACTATATCATATTATTATTGTATGTTGATGATATGCTAGTTGCAGGACCGTGTTTAGAGGAGATAAACATATTGAAGAAGCAGTTGGCAAAGGAGTTTGCTATGAATGTTCTGGATACAGCGAAGTAGATTATTAGGATGCGAATCAGTCGGGATGTGACTGAAGGGACGTTGAGGTTAAGTCAGGCTGAATACATCGAGAAAGTACTTCAAAGATTCAACATGGAGAATGCTAAGCCTGTTGGCACACCCTTTGGAAGTCAATTTAGGTTATCTAAGGAACAATCGCCCAAGACGGATGCAGAGGAGGAGCATATGAGAAGAGTGCTATATTCATCAGCCATTGGTAG